CCCCTCTCTTCCTTCCTTCCTTCCTTCCTTCCTTCTTTCCTTTCATCCCTTTCCTTGCCTTCATTTTTTCCTCCTTTATTCTTTCCTTCCTGCCTGCCTTCCTTCTTTTCCTTCCCTTTCCCTCCCTTTCCTCCCTCCCTTCCTCTCTCCATTCCATTCACTTCCTTTCCTCACTTCCATCCTTCTCTTTCTTCCCTCCTTACCTTCATTTTCCTTCCTTGGTTCCTTCCATCTTTTCTTTCCTTTCATCCCCTTCCTTGCCTTCATTTCTATTTTTTCCCTCCTCCTTTCCTTCCTTCTTTTCCTTCCTTCCTCCCTTTCTTTCGTTTCCCTTTCCTCCTTTCTTTTCCTTCCTTTCTTCTTTTTCTTCTTTCCTTCCCTTCCCTCCCTCCTCTCAATTCAATTCACTTCCTTCCCTCACTTCCCCTTCCTTCCTCCCTTCTCTTCCTTCCATCCTTCTCTTTCTTTCCTCCTTACCTTCATTTTCCTTCCTTCGTTCCTTCCATCTTTCCTTTCCTTTCATCCCCTTCCTTGCCTTCATTTTTTCTTTCCTCCCTTCCTTTCCTTTCCCTTTCCTTCCTTCTTTTCCTTCCTCTTTTCCCTCCCTTCCCTTCCCTCCTTTCCGTCCTCCCTTCTCTTCCTTCCATCTTTCTCCTTCTTTCCTCTTTACCTTCATTTTCATTCCTTCCATGTTTCCTTTCCTTTCATCCCCTTCCTTGCCTTCATTTTAATTTTTCCCCTCCTTTTTTTTTCTTTCTTTCCTTCCTTCTTTTCCTTCCCTCCTTTCCTCCCTCCCTCTCTCCATTCCCTTCCTTCCTTCCTTCCTTCCTTCCTTCCTTCCTTCCTTCCTTCCTTCCTTCCTTCCTTTTTCTGCGTCATTTTTCTGCGTCACGAGCAGATCAAACCCGAGGTCTCTTTCCAAGGAGTGTTTGTGTCGAGAGTGTTGTGTTTCCTCCCTCCCTGAAAACTTAGATTTATTACAATGTGGGTTGACTTCCCTAGAGAGCGAGGTTTCCTTCCTGTGTGTTCACACCTTTTGAAGACACACATTGTTAATTCAGATTAAAACAAACTCCCAAAATGACAAAACCAAGTGAGGTTCTTCTCATTGCTTTTCTGTGCTTTTCCTGGGGTGCTTCCGTTCGAACAACCACGAATTAAATTACAATTCTCCAAAGAACGGATTGATTATTTGGGTTTTGTCCGAAATCACGAATAGTTGAGATAAATCACCGTTCTTATCTCGGCTGCTTCACGTTCTTCTTGAAGGCACGAAGTTGGGAAAACACCGGACTCATCAATTCAGATTTCACCAGCTTGTGACTTTGTGATATGAATTTTTCAGATTTCACTCCAAAAGTGGCACTCTACCAATTCTACACATCTCTATGCATTTCTGAAACCATACATTTTAAGCTATAAGCAATTTCCCCACCGGAAACTATGATATTCTGACATCCTGTTTACCTGTTTACTCCATTTTTGGGGCCCTTTGGGGTGGGCTTTAAAGCTGAAACCCTGCCAGTATTTTAAATTGGAGTTTGCACTGACTTGTGTGCCACGTTAAGGTCCAGATCCATTGAACCATCTAGGAGCCTTTGTGGTACAAACATACATACGCATTAATTCAATATGGGAGTCCTTTGAGGTGTGTTTTAAAGCTGAAACCCAGCCAGTATTTTAAATTGGAGTATGCATTTTCTTGTGTGCTGTGTTTGGTCCACATCCACTGAGCCACGTATGAACCTTTGTGGTACATACATACATACCCATTTATTTGGTTTGGGAGCCATTTGGTGTGAATCTTAAAGCTGAAACCCAGCCAGTATTTTAAAATGAAGTATGCACTGTCTTGTGAACGTTGTTTGGTCCAGATCCATCGAGCCACGTAGGAGCCTTTGTGGTACAAACATACATACCTATATGCATCCTATTTATTGCATTTTGTGGACCTTTGGGATGAATTATAAAGCTGAAACTCAGCCAGTATTCTAAATCCAATTATGTGCTGTTTTTGTGCCACATTGTGTCCAGATCCATCGAGCCACGCAGAAGCGTTTGTGGTACAAACATACATACATACATATATGCATATCTATTTATTCCATTTTGGGGCCCTTTGGGATTGACTATAAAGGGGAAACTCAGCCAGTATTTTAAATCAGGTTATGTGCAGTTTTTGTGCCATGTTTAGTCCAGATCCATCGAGCCACGTAGGAGCCTTTGTGGTACAAACATACATACTTACATACCTATATGCATACCTATTTATTCCATTTTTGGGACCTTTTGGGATTGATTATAAAGCTGAAACTCAGTATTTTAAATCAGATGATGTGCTGTTTTTGTACCACGTTTGGTCCAGGTCCATTGAGCCACGCAGGAGCCTTTGTGGTACAAACATACATACTTTCACTTATGTATGTATATATGGCTTGACGTTGACTGTCTTCTCCCATCGACCGCCTCTGTCCGCATGGCTGGACATGCATGACCTTGCAATTGTCCTCGCAGCGCTGTGCCATTGATCAATGGAGCGTTCGTATTGAAAACGGTGGAAAGCGGACTATCCCTTGCATTGGCTGATCATTTCAGGGCCTTGGAAAGCTGGAAAATGTGTCTGCTGGAGAAAAGCAGTCCTAAAAATAACCACAAATAAATTCATTATGATCAACAGATCAGACAAAACAAGTAGAACCAAACAAGTAATAATAATAATAAACATTTTCCTAAGATTTTACCTGCTCATTTATTTTCCTCGTAAGTAGACTCCGTTTCCTAGTAAACTACTAAGACTTGGGACATATTGTAGTAAATTACGAGCGTTTCTGTTTTGTGTTTACTAACTGCCGCGAGCCGGTGCAAGTTAAAGAGAGAAGTAGCCTATCGTCTACATACAGGAGGGTTGACAAAGGTCTACTTACCAGGTGGAGACGGAAATTTGAACCAGAGAGACTCCTCGCCAAAGAGTTAATGCAAATATTAAACTAATATAAGTTACTATTACTACATATTATTACTCTTATTTTTATTACTATTATTACATTATATTACAACTATATTATTTATCTTCTATTATTATAATATTTATAATAATATATTATTTCCCATTCCTCGAGACTGAAATTGGAGATAAGTAATGCTGACAGGCATCTGCTGATTTTGATTCATAGTCTTTATGCAAAACTATGTCTTAAAAGTGAGATGTAGGACCTCGTCTTACACCTGAATGTGTTGAGATGGCGTTGGTCAAGTGGCCTATCCTGTTCTATCAATATTGGTTTGCTTAATATATATGTATATATGTTTGCCACATTGCCAGGGCTCTGCCTGTACACAGGAAGAGGTGAACCAAACAAACACCTAGCTTGTTTCAAACTGTTTAATTAAAGCAGCACTTACCCTGGCTATTTTCACAGTCCAAAATATTGTGTGTGTGTGTGTGTGTTGAGATGGCCTTGATCAAGTGGCCTACCCTGTTCTATCAATATTGGTTTGCTTAATATATATGTATATATGTTTGCCACATTGCCAGGGCTCTGCCAGTACACAGGCAGAGCTGAACCAAAACAAACACCCAGCTTGTGTCAAACTGTTTAATTTTAGCACTTACCCTGGCTATTTTCACAGTCCATAATATAATATAATATATAGTTGTTGAGATGGCCTTGGTCAAGTGGTCAAGTGGCCATCTCAACACCTATAAAAAGGTGTCCTACTCTGGGACTCTGGTGCTCATTTCCAATTCTCAGCTGAAGAGCTGGCGCTGTCCATAGACGCCTCCAAGGTCATGTGGCCACTCTACCAGTACACAGGCAGAGTTGAACCAAAACAAACACCCAGCTTGCGTCAAACTGTTTAATTGCCCTGGCTATTTTCACAGTCCAAAATATAATATAATATAATATAATATAATATAATATAATATAATATAATATAATATAATATAGGTGTTGAGATGGCCTTGGTCAAGTGGCCTACCCTTTTCCATCAATATTTGTTTGTTTAATACACATGTATATATGTTTGTCACATTTCCAAGGCTCTGCCAGTACACAGGCAGAGCTGAACCAAAACAAACACCCAGCTTGTGTCAAACTGTTTAATTAAAGCAGCACTTACTGTCTGGTTATTTTCATAGTCCAGAATATTATTTATATATATATAGGCAAAGGTAAAGGTTTTCCCCTGAAATGAAGTCCAGTCGTGTCTGACTTGGGTGTGGTGCTCCTCTCCATTTCTAAGCCGAAGAGCCGGCATTGTTCATAGACACCTCCAGGTTCATGTGGCCGGCATGACTGCATGGAACGTCATTACCTTCCCACCGGAGGGATACCTATTGATCTACTCACATTTTCAAACTGCTAGGTTGGCAGAAGCTGGGGCTGACAGCGGAAGTTCACACTGCTCCCCGGATTCGAACCTGCAACCTTTTGGTCAACAAGCTCAGCAGCTCAACGCTTTAACCCACTGTGCCACCGGGGGGCCTCTCTCTCTCTCTCTCTCTCTGAGGTGTCCAACTGAGAGCTGGCATTGTCCGTAGACGCCTCCAAGGTCATGTGGCCACTCTGCCGGTACACAGGCAGAGGTGAACCAAAACAAACACCCAGCTTGTGTCAAACTGTTTAATTGAAGCAGCACTTCTGGTTATTTTCATCGTCCAGGATATATATGTTTCCTGTGAGCTTTCAGTCAACAAGCTCAGCAGCTCAGCGCTTTAACCACTGTGCCACTGGGATATATATATATATATATATATATATATATATATATATATATATGATGTCCGACTCTGGGACTCTGGTGCTCATTTCCCTTTCTCAGCCAAATAGCTGGCATTGTCCGTAGACGCCTCCAAGGTTATGTGGCCACTCTGCCGGTACACAGGCAGAGGTGAACCAAAACAAATATATGTGATTACACAGAAAATATTGGATATTTTTAGTCCTAAAAATAACCACAATTGTATTTTCCTCCTCATGACTCCAATATTAGATCAATATCCAATTTTATTTCTCCCTGTAATCATATATATTAGAAGCCAGAGAGGGGTGAAAGAATCAGACGTCACACGGCTATTAGGTCAAACGCTTCGCCGGACATTGTATTGGCATATTCCCTTTCCACTCCAATGGAAGCAAATTGAATAACTCAGGAAGGGAAAAACGGATAGCGAGAATCCGTCGTATTGGCATATTCCCTTTCCATTCCAACGAAAGAGAATTGGATAACTCAGGAAAGAGAATCGCAGGTGGATGTAGCCCCGAACGGTCAAGATGAGCTCCTCGGCCGTCCGGCGAAAGTCCTACAAAAAGGCCCAGGAGGACGCAGGGCCCTATTGGGAAGGTGACTCTGCCAGTGCTGGCGGGGGTGAAGTGACCGCCGGGAAACTACAAGTCATGGAGAAGTTCTTCTCACCGGTGGAAGATGAGCACAAAGGTCTCTCAGACCGACATCGACGGACAGACAACCGCTTCGCGACTGCTGCCTCATTGTCCTCATCCTCATCCACTTTCTCCTCGTCGGGCTCATCAGCCTCGTGGTCGTCAGACGCCAGCTTCGATAAGGAAGCGTTCTCAGCATCCACAGACTCTCGTTATCCTCGCCAGTATCCGCAGCATTCGCAGTCCTGTATTGACGTCTCTAGAGGAGGGAGAAAAATCGGCAACCACGACGGGACCTCTCAAATCGGCGACCACGAAGAGACTGCTCACTTGGCCGAAATGGAAGCCTCTTCTTTCGCTCGTTTGCAGAAAGGACATAGCAAAAGTGTTGACCGCTTGATGCACCGCCGGCAAGCCACCGTCGACCGACAAATATACAAAGCGACGAGTTTGGTTTTCAACGCCGAAACGAGTCGAAACAATCGCCGCAACAACACCCCCAATAAAGGCATCTTGAAGAACGGAGAAGACCGGATGTGGAAAGCGAAGTCGATCGAGACCATAACGGTGAGGCCGACAATGGGAAAAGAGGTTCGCGGATCTACTTTGGGTCCCGCTCGGCCCCTCCAGCGCCGACAACAGCCCCCCAACAGCTTGGATTTGAGCACCCCGCAAAAGCCGTCACTGTCAACCGAACGACTACGCCGGGTGGAAGAGAAGCTGCGTTTCTCGGAATTCCTCAACGAGATCACGAAGCAAGTGATGAGCCCGTCGAGCCTCAATTCGTTGGGGTGGAAGCCCCCCGGGTCAGCACCGGTCAGCAAGGCCCCTAGCACTGAGGGGTCCTCCTCCTCCCCGGGGTCGGTGGCCGAGGTGAAGGCGAAAAAATACGAGGGTGCCTCTCCCGCTGTCTTCGGACGCCGCCGGACCGGGAAAGAGGTAGAGGGGAGCGAGGCCCACGAAGAAGGAGGGGCCCCCAAAAGGGGGGTGAAGGAGGCCGGGGGCGAGAAAGAGGCACAAGCCAAGGGAAAGGTGAGCGGGTTGAGTCTCGTTTAAGAGTGACGGAATAGTTGGGTGGTTACGAAACCCCAGAGGCCATCCAGTCCGGCGCCTATCTTCAACTCAAGAACACATCATAATGAATGAACGAGTCAATCATAGGGTTGGAAGGGACCCCCAAAGGCCATCCAGTCCAACCCCTACCTACCATTCAACCCACAATTAATCGATCAATTACAGATTTGGAAGGGACCCCCAAAGGCCATCCAGTCCGACCCCTATCGGTCATTCAAGAGCACACAATCAATCAATCAATCAATCAATCATAGGGTTGGAAGGAATCCCCAAAGGCCATCTAGTCCAAGCCTGTTTCTGCCATAAAGGAAGACACTACCCGATCCCTCCCGCCAGATGGCCAGTACAGCTTAGAAACTTCCAGAGAAGTAGACTCCACTGGCCTTGATAGCATCAAATTATTATTATTATTATTATTATTATTATTATTATTATTATTATTATAGAATTATTGTTGTTGAATTATTATTATTATTATTGAATTATTATTATTATTATTATTGAATTATTAGTATTATCATTATTGTTGAATTATTATTATTGATTTTTGTGTATGTATCAGGAGTGACTTGAGAAACTGCAAGTCACTTCTGATGTGAGAGAACTTGTCGTCTACAAGGATGTTGCCCAGGGGACATTGCCCAGATGTTTTACTATCCTGTGGGAGGCTTCTCTCATGGACCCACATGGGGAGCTGGAACTGACAGAGGGAGCTCACCTGCACTCTCTGCGGATTCAAACTGCTGACCTATTGGTCAGCGGTCCTGCCGGTACAAGGGTTTACGCCATTGAGGACTCTGGTATTATTATTATTATTATTATTATTATTATTGAATTATTGTTGTTATTGTTGAATTATTGAGCTATTATTATTGTTGTGTCTGACTCTGGGACGTGGTGCTCATCTCCACGTCTAAGCCGAAGAGCCGGTGTTGTCCATAGACACCTCCCACAGAAGCTGTACCTATTGATCTACTCACATTTGCATGTTTTCAAACTGCTAGGTTGGGAAGAGCTGGGGCTAACAGCAGGAGCTCACCCCGCTGCCCAGGTCTGAACCTCTGACCTTTCGGTCAGCAAGTTCAGCAGATCAGCACTTTAACCCGCTGTACGACCAGGGGCCCCTCTATTATCATTATTGCTGAATGATTATTATTGAATGATTATCATTGTTGAATTATTATTGAATTATTATTGTGTTAACTATTATTATTATTGAATTATCATTATTCAATTATTATTGTTGCTGAGTTATTATTATTAAATTATTATTGTGTTGAATGACTATAATTAATATTGAATTATTAATATTGAATTATTATTATTATTGAATTATTATTAAGTTATTATCATTGTTGAATTATTATTAAAATAATAATAATTATTAATATTATTAATAATAATATTGAATTATTATTATTAATGAATTATTATTACATTATTATTGTGTTGAATGATTATTATTATTATTGAATGATCATTATTCAATTATTGTTGCTGAATTATTACTATTAAATTACTATTGTGTTGAATGATTATCATCAATATTGAATTATTAATATTGAATTATTATTATTGAATTATTATGTTTAAATTATTATTGAAATAATATTGAATTATTATTATTAATGAATTATTATTAAATTATTATTGTGTTGAATGATTATTATTATTGATTATTATTAATATTAATGAATTATTATTAAATTATTATCGTGTTGAATTATTATTATTGAATTATTATTAAGTTATTATCATTGTTGAATTATTATTAAAATAATAATAATTATTAATATTATTAATAATAATATTGAATTATTATTAATGAATTATTAAATTATTATTGTGTTGAATGATTATTATTATTATTGAATTATTATTATTCAATTATTGTTGCTGGGTTATTACAATTAAATTATTATTGTGTTGAATGATTGTTATCAATATTGAATTATTAATATTGAATTATTATTTTTAAATTATCATTGTTGAATTATTATTAAAATAATATTGAATTATTATTACTATTGAATTATTATTATTAATGAACTATTATTACATTATTATTGTATTGAATGTTTATTATTAATATTGAATTATTATTATTGAATTATTATTAATAATAATATTGAGTTAGTATTATTATTATTGAATTATTATTATTCAGTTATTATTGCTGTTGGATCATTATTATTAATAATAATGAATTATTGTTATTGTTATTGTTATTATTATTATTATATTAAGTGCCTTTCGTCTTCTTCTCTTCTTTTAGGAGCTGCTCTCAGAAGACAATGCAGAACAACTTCTGTGAGTTTCACCACTCTTGTTAGGACTTTATTTCCAATCAAAGAGGGAATGTGATGATGATGATGATGATGATGATGATGATGATGATGGTATTGTGGTTGCAGGTCGCCCGAAGCAGTGGCGCTGCCCTCGTCCCCGGAGCAAAGCGACCTGCAGAGAACTTGGGAGGAGCTGGAGAACCTCAAAGGGAAGTTCAGCCGGTGAGTCGTTGGATCCAGAGAAATCCTCATCATCCAAAATCCATGAAATTTTAGTTTATCCATTTTATCTATATATATAAATTTCCTCCTGGCGTCGTATGAGGAAACAAAACTCAAAAACCCCCCAACAAAACTCCANAGCAAACCTTTTGTATCATTACCCCAATACCCCCATGCATATGGGATATATTGAGAATGGTGATCAAATCATCTATATATATAAATTTCTTCCTAGCGTCGTATGAGGAAACAAAACTCAAAAAAACCCCAACGAAACTCCACCAAACTTCCCATGCCCCAAGGGCAACCAACAAGGTACAAACTAATCCACTCAGAAATCATAAACACACAACAACAACCACAATAAACTGCAAAGCAACTGAGCATGCGCACTGGCGCAAACTCCCTGGCGCGCGCACACACATTGGGAACACATTCATTTAGAAGATTTCTATACCGGCCTTCTCAACCTCGGCGAGGGACTCAGGTCGGGTGCTTCCCGCATGAGGAAGAGGAGCAATGCTGAGGAAGGAGGCAGGGGCGCACTGACAACAGGGGGAAAGGCATGAAAAAGATGGGGGAGAATCCCAATCCACCCACACACCATCCTTAGGCCATTTAGCACCATAACACAGAAAGCTGCCATAAGGAGGCAACCACAGAGGGGAAAGATGGAGACAGTTAGTTGGAGAGTAGAGATGGGTTCACAGCAGGCATGGGAGGGGGGGTACACGCGCGCTCGCACACACAGGACAACTCCATGTGGCAACAGCCTGGAGTCAGCCTTGGCTCTCTCCCTCCTCCTTCTCTCCCTTCCTTCTCTCTTCCCCCATTTTCTCCCTTCATGCCTTTCTTGCCTCCTCTCCTCCCTCCCTTTTCCCCTCATCCTTCCCCTCTTTCCTTCTCTCTTTCCTCTTTCCTTTCCTTTCCTCCTTCCCTTCTTCCTCAATCTTCAGCTCCCCCCTTGGGTGCCGCCATCAAGGGCCTCCAGTAAGCCCCGCCCCTAATACAGCAGAGTGTGCTGGGGACGAA